CTCATTTCTCACTCTGATGTTTTTCCGATTGCGGTAGCTCACGATTCCCAGCGTGCTGCCTTGTGCATTTGACGCGAAAAAATGCGCGTTTCTACCTTCCAAGCCCGCTGCGGCGCGTCATTAGCCTACGCGCATTTAACTTTCTGTCGTCCGGTACGTTTTGATATCGCGTGTTCATTAAGTTACACACTCGCGCACGGCAATAGGTCCGACCAATCTCATAATTAAAATCTCTCAAGTAAATAAATAGAAACGAATAATGGGTTAATTAATCAATCGGTTGCTCAACGCCCCTCGTAACACAAATACAAAATGTTTTTGCTGTGTAGCCAAGCAAGATTAGTACGGTACATGAATGTTTACATCTTTCGGAAAAGTTCTCCGCGTGCACCGATAGCGATAACGCCATGAGGAAGCTGCGAGTCGCGTGGTTCCACGACGACCTCGACGCGACGGAAAAAGTAGCCGAGGTCGCGCGATGCTGTTGAATAGCGCGTCTTCAATGTCGGGACCCGCTATGCTTTCTTTGGCGAAATCGATGCCGAATTTCGTTGGCCGGCCGACCAACCAGCCAGCCAGCCGGCGAACGCGGTAGCGTGACGCGAGCAATAAACCGGCGCAGAGAGTAGGAGCGCTTCGCGGACGCTACGGAACACCGTGTGGCGCAGGGGGTGGAAGCAAGCCCTGCGGCAACGCGCCCTCGTCGTATCCACCCCCTGCGTTAATGCGTCGGGGTTGCGACGCAAGAAAAGGAGCAAAAAGCCGGGCGGACCGTCGATACCAAACGAATCGAAAGGGACTCTCTCTCTCTCTCTCTTTCTCGATGTCGTCGTCGATATTGCGATAACGCGGCTAGTATAGCTCGTCTCGTTATCTTCGGAATTGAGCTTTGACGGCGCAAAATTGCCTCCTTTCAACCCATATCGCGTGCAATCGAACGATTTTTCTTCTTATACAGTAAAAACATTTTATAATTGTGTTACAATCTGTCCTCGTTAAAATGTTCGTGTTCTATTTTTATATTACTCGTATGTTAACATATTGTGTTTCTTTTATTCTAATACTTTGGTTGAGTTGATATTCAACATGTGTAAGTGTTAAAATAACACATTTTATATTTCAGTGTCGATTAACGTATTAATTTTGTGTTAATTTTTGACACAATATTTGTGTTACTTTTTAACATACGCACCTTACGTTAAATTAACATAGAAATTTGTGTGAACTGTTTGGAACATATGAAATGTATTAAATTTAACATAAAATTTCTCACTGTGTGCGTTCGTGACGCATTCGCTGGATATTTGAGATACGTCGAACTTGCACTGACCCTTAAACTATGACGTCAGTCTCACAGACGATGACTATGACAGTGGCAGGTGGTAAGTTCGCTGGTACTAAGGCTGCGAAGCTTTTGATGAATGTATTTCTCATAACGAAGAAAGAAACTCGCGTCCATTGTAATATTAAATCATTTAAAGGAGTTGCGTCCAAACGACCTTTGGAAAACAGCCCTGTCATTCAGCGAGTTAATCCGCATTGATGCACTGCAGCTGTACCGCGAACACTTTATGCGACTCGAATCTTGTCATACGCGTGACGTATCGACTGTAATCGTCGGCAGAAAATACATTTATACGCGGAAGGGCGGTATATCGATTCTCTCGCGGTTCATCGGTGCCACGTGAGAATGTCGGTCCGGCAGGCACGCGACATCGCGATCGTTGCATGGTCAAGCGCGAATGTCACTGGCACAACCTTCGCGTGGCCGTCAAGTAGCTCGAAGAAGTTACGTCGGCTCGTCAATGTCGCTCTCCAAGAATTACTATAGGAGGTAGGAAAGATCAGAGAAGAAAATAGATAAGTTAATTCACAGTCACGCTACCTTGCAGCTTATTTTACTCGCGCACAAATTGGCGCGCAGCGTGAAAATTGTGAAACTCATTATTAGGCTCTTATTGTCTATTTTTCTTATTTATTATCTTTCATTTCAGCACAGAGCCTGATATAGTTTCATTTGAATTTAGGATTGATTTAATATCCCTCTTGATTTATTAGATTCATACCTGCCGGACCGACATTAGATTCATACCTTGCAGCTTATTTTACTCGCGCATAAATTGGCGCGCAGCGTGAAAATTGTGAAACTCATTATTAGGCTCTTATTGTCTATTTTTCTTATTTATTATCTTTCATTTCAGCACAGAGCCTGATACTGTTTCATTTGAATTTAGGATTGATTTAATATCCCTCTTGATTCATTAGATTCATCTGTACAATCGGTTGAATTAAATCTTACAATTTCCTGGCCATGAAGAGCCAAAGCACGGGTATGTTTTAGTTTACTCTCCTACAATAACATTAGTATTAATAATATCAATATGTAAGTAGCACTAGAATATCCGTACTTTGGCTTCCACGGCTAGAAAATTCTTTTTATCTTTCAACGGAGAAATTTCTCTTAATATTTACAATTCTCTGTTGAGTCCTTTTGAAACCAATGTCTTTTTGAAACAATGTTCTTTTATATCGTAGATGATTTTATAAATCTTAGACATTTTAAAGCATACGAAATTAAGTTTGTTATTAGGTTACAATTCATTTAATTCTCCACTTAATTCATTAGACTTGCCTACAATCGATCGAATTCTACTTCTTGATTTTATCTCATCGGCTTTCCGAGATCAATAATTTCTTTCAGACTATAAATAGCTCCCCCGGTCTTATATACGAAACTAAGCTCATTATAACAACACGATTATTATAATTCTCCCCTTATACAATATTCATTAGGTTCACCTACATCGATCGAATTCGATCTCGCGATCTTTCTTTCGTTGCTTTTCGTTTCCGAGGCCAGTAATTATTCCAAACCTCGTGCGATTTTCAGGCCTTAAATACCAGTGCGGGGCCTCGCTCGAAGGGCGAAACGACTGCACCTGGAACGGCGTTCCGCGAACGCGTTATCGCAGCCCCTATCAATGCACCCTTGCCCGAGACCCTCTTTCGCGCTCGTGTGCGGTCGTTCGCGCGAGATCGATAACGGTACCGGCGAGCGTGCGTGAGAAGTCGAGCGAGGCAACCGGTTCCGCAACTTCTGGTGTTCGCGCGCGGCACCCTTCGCGTAGAACCCTGCCCCGAAATTCGCGCGTTCTCTCGTCTGACGTGCATACTTCCCAGGAATTATATTCCGTAAACGGACGGGCGTAAGAATCGGATTAAAGCCGGTTAGACGGAGTGTGTGTTCTCGGCGCAAAGAGAGAGGCAATGAGGGCGGAGGGCGAACGGGGGCCAATTTAACGCCGACCTGTTAAGCTTACAACTAAATGTAAGCTTCCGTTGGCGCGTCGCCGGCAATGTCACCGTAATTTCGCAGCTTGATGCACGCGTTGCAATTGTATGCACGATGTTATTTTATATATATATATATATATACACATCTTATCGTCGGCCTCTCAACATTATAACTCACGCGACTATGTTTATTGTAATCTCAGGGCACATATAATTATACAAAGTGCCGGATAATTAGCAAGCGTTAAAATTGCAGAGATCGCGATGCTACGTTAGTCCCCGTCTACAATAGGTGCTTTGAGTCCTAAGCCTTAAAAAATTGACCAATCGCAGTCGATTAAGCTCCTCATATTCGGCTCTACGATAGGTCAACTTCCCAAAGTTTAAAGTTTAAAGCACCTATTGTAGACCTGTTTTTAAGTTGCGTTATGCTCGCTCTAACGTTACGAGCGCAAGAATGATCGCGGGATAAATTCACACAGACGCGCGTAGGTCCCGCCGTTGTCTCCGCCACCGCACCGACATTCACCAGCGGCACGAGCCGAAGATAATTGGATGAGCAGTGGCGGCGGAGAAGGTGGAGAGGCATCGACGCATTAGGAAAACGCGGCGCATCTGCCACATAGAGAATTACGCTCGCAGTGCAAAGGTTAATCCCCATAGCCACCCTCTCAATTCCCGCTCTCCGGCAATTAGGGAACGGTGTAATAGGGTGACCTCGGGTCAATCCTGTTGTCGCACGCGGGCTCGATTATTCGACAATCGCCGTAGAATCAGCCCCGGTTGTTGGGATCACCGTTGGCATCTCCGCGAGACTTTCGACGGTGTCGCGCGTGCGACGCGATACGCAAACCCGATGAATTATTGCCGCCGCGAGAGAGATCGTTGCGTTCGCGCGCGCGAACGGATGAATTTCTTACACGGCCGAAATTGGTTTCGTCACTTTGATTTGTCACCGGAATATCGGTCGGAATAGTTCACGTGAAGAATCGATCGCACGGTGTTCCGCGGTATCCGCGATTAACGAGGGGAGTGTGTGTATATGTTAGGTCTGGCGGAGATTCAGATAATGGCGCGACTACTTATTACTTTCGATGCGTCGGTCGTTTAATCCGACGTCAACAACAAATATTGCGCCGCGATGTTTTCGGCGCGGGGCTGCAAATGAGACGTTTAGACGCGGCGATTTAACATACAATAGCCGCGCCAGGTCAAATTAATTAATCATGGATCTGGTGCGGCTTAAGTAATTTGGTTAGAACGTCGTGACGCGTGAATGCGCTCGCGATATTCTGTCAGGAAAACTATCATCATTGCCTCAAATTGCGATATTACACGCGAAAAAGAATAGCCGTAGGAGGTAAACAGCTAATGTCATTATTACTGCAGCTAAATTTATCAGCTGTTCAAATTAAGACGCTACAGCGAACATTATAGTTGTATCTTGCAGCAAAATGCATTTACCTCTAATAGCTAATATCGCTGCTACTGCAGCTAAATTTATTACCTGGGATTATTAGCTGGGGATTCAACGACTAGCTGTCCCCATTTTAGCTGCCACAGATAATATTAGAGCTTTTGTGGCTAATTTTTTTCTGCGTGGTGTATTCGCGAAATGTTGAGGAATTATATCGAAACGATGCGACGGTGCAAAATAAGGAGGAAGACACAATCAAGATATTTTGTCAAAATCTTTTTGCACATACCCGAGACCGGTAACCTTATCACGATCAGCCAGGATAACAGGAAAGTCGCGAACGGCAATCCGGCGGTCTGCATGATGGCGTGCGTTGGTCGATTCGTCGATCGGTCGGCGAGATCACTGCGACATCGTAGTCACTGCAACTCGAGATCGCACAACAGGCTCGTCGTGCAAGAGATTTTCACCGCGCTGCCGCGAAAGCGCACCGCTGCGTCTTTCACATGCGTCCTTCTGTCGAGTGGAGAGAAATATCGGGATTTCAATCGATATGCGACTTCGACGATGTGTGAGTCGCGCTGAGGGATCGATTCGGCCGGGCAAAACGCGACGGGCGCGCGAAAATTCGCCGAAAAACGGCGGAATCGCGATTGATTTTCGAGAAGGTTGAATGGAGCTCTGCTCCCGCAACACGGCGTTTTCACGCAGAAATGTACGGGCTGCTGCATGCACGAACCGTCGAGGAATGTCAATATTTTCCGAGATAACGGTGACAGTCATTTTCATCGTAAAAATGCGCCTATAAACGTACGCGCGATTTTCCGCATTTTTATTGCGCACACCGTCGTTCGAAAATGAGAGACGATATCTCGTTGCCTAGATATACGAGAAGAGTCAATGCGAATTGTTTACGGTCCTCGCGAAAAGGAAACACCGTCTGTCGTTTCCGTCTCTTTTTTTATTAACGTAAGGGAGCCGTCGCATTTTTAAATTAGCATACTTTTGCGATTTCCCGCGATACGGCGATCGTAAAACCCCACGAAGGCTGAGTGCGTTTGTTTGCGCCGCACTTGCGACAACAATATACAATAACGGGATCAGCGATGAAGCCGATTTACCCGAGGGATGAGTCGAGCGCAAAATCAAGTCGATCTGCGGACACGATCGTACCTCGCGAAATCCGCTATTCCTCCGGTCGTGGTCGCACGACAATCGGAGCGACATGGAGCAGCAACAGCGGCGGCGATCGCTGACGATTCTCCGGCGCAACAGATCGCTGTATCATCTTCCGCGATCGCGTCGTTCGACGATGTTTCTTCCCCGGTGAAGACGTGGTGTGTATACGTGGAGGAAAGGCGGCGCACCCCGACGTCGCGACGTTACGGCGTTGCGGCCGATACTAACCGACGTCGGGACGCCCGCGCGTTATCAGACAATTTTCACGCGTGCGCACGGCCCCCGAGGAATCGGCCGGCGGGGGCGGCTGAAACGACACGAGGGGCGACGTGGGGTGCCAGACCGGCAGCGCCGAGGGAATCCCCTACGGCCCCTCTGGGAATAGGCGCGACTCCTCCTTTGCGCGTCGTTCGGACGAACGCGGGACTATTCGTTCCGATTATTACCGCCGTCTCGACGCGAAGGTAATGACTCTTCGTGCGATCTTACGAAGCGCCCCGCTCCTACTCTCGTCCGTGCGGAGGAGACGGTCGGTGGAAACGTCGCTTTAGAGATGCTCTTTTTTTAGATTTTCATTAAACGTGAGAGAAGGTCAATCGTTAATCGAATTTTCAGACGTGGAGTGCGATGCAAATCACGCGATGCGAGGAATTTATAGCGAGGATATATTTTCACGTCGGGAAAAATGCACGGAGTATTTGAATATCCCGTTTCATGAAAGGCTGTCCCCCTCTCTCTCCCTCACTCTCTTTCGTCATCTCCGAGATAAATTATTTCATCGATTTGCCATCGAATTCCCGCCGTTCGCCCGCCAAATCCGTTGCGTTTCATCCATCCATCCCTCGTTCCTTTTATTTATTTCTCGTATTTCTTCCTTACAGTGCAACCAGCGGCTCGGTTTCGTATTGATCGCGCTTTGTCACCTGCGACAGGTTTGCATCATTCGTCGCCGAAAGTTTCTCCTAATTCAATTAGTGCATCGATTCGCGTGTTGCTTCTTCTCCTCGTTCTCGCGGAGGACTCGTGAAATCGAAGAAGCCAGCTCGTATCGAGCCTATAGTTAGGGGAATGCCGCGGTGTGTGCGCCTCCTCCCTTATTTTCCTTGGACAGAGGACGAGCTTAGGCGTGCGACGCGCGTTTGATTTAGAACGCGACGCGCTACACGCCGACGCGTTTTTTCAGCCTCGCCGCCGTTTCATTCGCGGCGGAAGGCGTCCCGTCATTTATGATTTAGCGATCCTTTTTCTCTTTCCCCGGCGAAGAATACACTTAACTAAATGCTTCTTCTCCGGCCAGTGCCGTCCGTTGCGCTCTCGAGAGCCCTGAATACCGAAGTGTGCTAAAAAAATTACTTCGGAATCATACGACGCTTAAGAAAATTAGGAAGGATAAAAAGTAAGAGGATAAGTAAGAACTTTTATCATTTAATTGTTTGTCGACGATAAAAATATTGTTTTTATAACTTGCGACAGTTTATCTCGAGGCATCTGCCTTCCGTTTTTTATTCCTCAAGACGTCACTGTGACTTCCTATCTGAGACGCGTGTGTTTTAGTGAAGATTGCGCGTCGGTTCGCTCGTGGAGTTTGCGAAAAAGTTGAATCGATCGGGCGCGCTTGAAACCGCCGTCGGACGTGGTGGTGATTTACGGTTTACGCAACAAAGTCGCCGGTGGTTGCCTTTGAGTGATGCATTCGCCTCGCGCAATATGCATTTTCCCGTCAACGCTGACGAATCGACGACGAAAGCGGCAGATATGGAAAATCCAGTATTTGTGTCGGCACGTTTTATATTTCGAGCGAAATCGAGAAAGAGACAGCGACAGAAAGAGAGAGAGAGAACACAGGTTTTCATTAGTAAAATCGGTCGGCGTAATTCCGGCAAATTTCTCGACGAAGGAAAGCTAATAATTTCTACTAATACATACACAGGACTCGCACGAATGTTGTCCTCAACGATAATTACCGCATACAAATGTTATTTTCCGCAACATCTCGGCGATTTAATCCAATGAATGGGCATAACGAACCGCGGAGGATACAACGCGCAGTGTAAATATCATCGTACGTAGGGTGTGCCAGAAGTCACGCACTTTCTCCGAACCAGACGGTCTTTAGCGAACGCCGATTTATAGACGAGGAAAATTTCCCGTTTGTAGAACCGACGATGCATCGCGCTAGAAACGACGTTATTCTCGCTGATTCAACTTCTTCCTCCCGACTGTCGTAGACGTTAGCGGAGCGCCATGACTTGCGGGACACACCTTGTATATAAAACGCGAGCGTAGGGGAAAATAATATAATGACCAGGTGGATGGCTGATTGGTTCCCGCGTATGCACCGTGGGTTGCGACGGGGACCCTCGTCAGAGGCGAAATAGTCGGGAGATTAGAGCCCTCGTCTCGTGTAATCCGCGTGTTTCCATACGATTCTTAGCGACGCGGCTTGGCAATTGCCGTGTGATATCAACGTCACGAAACTCGTTTCTCTTTCTTTGCTTGGCAAGGCGACGTTATCCTGGTTTATTAGAAAATTATTCCCGTCAAGATATTGCGCTCAACACGGTGCTTTAGTCGTTTCATGAAGTTTTTAATTACGATCTTGCTGGTTGTTTAGAAAAGCAGATTACAAGTGTGTTCTATCGCATTCCTCTGCTTGTCTCTACTCTTCGGAAAAATTGCAGTATGCTCACTATTTAAAAGTACATTGTTCTGGAAATCTCCGCTCGTTCTCTCTCTCTCTTTTTCTCTCTCTGTTTCACTCCTCACTGAGTCCTCCGGCTAAACGCGATATTTTCAAATTAACGTTTTCCGGCATTCTCGTGATCCCAACATGCCATATAGCGCGTTATATTAATCGATACACGGTACACGAGGTGGTAACATTTTATTTGTTGCGACGTTGCGATGAGAACGCGAACGATAACGGGTGCATTATCGCAACTATCTTCCCACGAGTGGAACGTTCGCTACGGCGATTGTTGTGAAATTTTTATCTCGGTTCACTAACGATAAAATCCACCCCGTGCGCGTGAAATATCCCCGTAGATTATGGCGTGGTGACGTTGTTTACCATCTTGTATTACGGCTGGTCAAGTCACGAGCTCGCCATCGCCGTCGTATTCGTCGGGCCAGTAGCTCCAACACTCACATAGGGTGCTTCGAAAATATTATTTATTAAAAAGTGTCGGATAGTTCCTAAGTAGGTTTGCTGTCGATGAATTTCTTCAGTGAAATTTTCATTATAATTCTCGGTCGCTTAATTGGACCGCTTCAATTTTCCAATCAGTCAAACGAGATTTTATCTCGCAATTCCTAACGAATTTCTAACAAAAAACGACCGGCATTCATAAGGAAGTACAAAGAGTTTGCGAGATGATTTACTCGGCTGCTCCTTTGTGATACTTTATTACGACGATTGAAGTGAAATAAGACGAGAGATACAATCGCTTTTGCGTCGCTTCGAATCGAGCGCCCGTATCTCAAAGTGCATACTCCGGCGAGTGCTTTAATCCGAAGGAGTTCTGTATTCGAGAGGGACGTTTCGAGCAAGGAAATGTAGCGCCCCTTGCACCGTAATAGCAATGGCCGGTCTGGGATAGCGCCGCGCACGAGGGGTGCATTTCAATTGATCCACCGCTATCGCGAGGAGGGTTCGTTGACCAACATTATCGTATATAACGAGGTGCACGCGAAGTCTCCGCTCGCTTGCTTCCTCGCTCCCTTCCTCCCTCGGCGGGTGTCCTTGAAGAGCAATCGCTTCCCCATTAAGGTCATCGGGGCCATCACGTACTTCTACGGTGGCTATGTTTAATTATTTCGACGAACGCGAGAACGTTCGTCATTAATTCATCGATTCGGCTAGAGACGAGATGATTTTTCTCCGTCGAAAATAATTCGACATTAATTGTTTTTCTTCGACGAAAATAATTATTCTCCTCGTCGGAAATCATTATTTTTCTTCCGCATACGAAAACAATACTTACGAAATTTAGCAAATTCGAGCAGTTTCTTCGGCGAAGGCTTTATTGGGTTTTTTTTTTCTTCTGAATTGTTTAGTTGAATTTTTTTATTTGTTGCCATTTGTAAGTCGAAAGAAACACGCGATTTTTCTTACACACCTTTTAAACATATCCAATCATCCGCTGCATCTTCTGTCGTCGTCGGTCCTTTGTCTCGCGAGAAGTAGGAGTTTCTCTCCGAAAGAGAGTGTTTAATAGTTGGATCCGGAATTTCTGAACGATCGCTCATTTATTTTCGCGATTCATTCAGCGCACTCGTCCGCCCGATTGTCCGTGGAAAATCGATATCCAGGGATGACTTTCCCCTTCCTCGGCCTTGTTATAGTCTTTTAATTGCTTTCCTCGTTGGCGTTCGATACGACGACGTCGAATGGGCTTTCGATAAATAGCAGTTCTCTGATGAGCTTTATTTTTGCAATGTGACATTTTCGAGCTTTCACTGCTTTTGTCTAATGAACGAGAAAAAGATTTACACACATCGGCGCCGTATTCGTGGATATAAAAAAGAAAAAAAATCTATATTGCAGGCAAGTGAAATTTTTTGCGAATCGTAAAAAGCACCTTGGGAGTCGTTAGTCTCGCTAATCTCGGCTGCCACGACTACACATCGTGGATACAAATTATTATCGTGGAACGTTAATTACAGCGTGATAATCTAATTACTGCATTTTACGCGAATCTTCACGGAAATCCCGATAAACAGGCGGCTCTTCGATGTATTGAGCTTTGTCTTTTCCGCGAATCTCATCGCGCGACCTCTCTACCGACGCAAAAATCGCCGATATTTACATTACTTCGCGACGGACGAACACGGATGATCAGCTTGCATCATTTTCTATTCGGGTTTCATTTATATTCTCGCTTTCCGTTTGCGAGTGTGCTTTACCGTTATTCCGTTTAACGATCGTATCTTTTATATTTTCGAACAACGATCGGTTTGTCGATGTTGCGAACATACGAAAAATTCTTGTCGAGAGTGCGATTTGCGAATTGCTCACGCATTATTATGCAAACGAGATGAATAATGGCACGCTTTCTGCCTGTGACTGGTAAGCACTGTGATTTATCGAGAGATCGATGCGGCCATGAGGACACCGATGATATCACATGCTATTGCTTTGCCGCGCGACGCAATGTCTCGGCGGAAGATGCGTTCTCTCTCCCTGTTTTTAGACCAGGAAATCCTGGTGAGTCAGAGCGGCAGAATCATCCCCCGAAAAGGGCCGCTCGCCGCATCCTTTCTTCTCGCAACAATTACAGCAGGAAAATTAATCCTACGCTTACCATGAAGGGCGTGAGATGAAATATCCCGCTATTAGTAGAGAGAAAATCTGTAATTATCGCTTAATGTCCTCTAAATCTTCTTTACTTTATTAACGAAAATAACTCAACGTTAATTTAATTTGGGATTTTTTCTATTTTTTGCGTATTAATCAATTGTGGGAGAGAAATTAATCCTTTGATACTTGCAGTAATGAACGTAAGCTAAAAATCCCGCTATTCGGCGAAAACTAAAGTTATATGTTCTTTAATATCCTTCCATACAATTTTGTTTACTTATATTATTTACTCATATTAGTTTTTTTAAATTTATATATATATATATATTGTTAATATAGTGTTAATTTAATTTAAAACTATTTTTTATGTTTCATACTAATCTAATTTGCAATTTACGACATTGACCACGAAAGCGAATTTTGATACTATGAAATAATATATGGTGCATTACACGTTATTACTGAAAAAAGAAAAAGAAACTCTCATTAGTACTCTCAAAATGGACTGTGTGTGACACAAATTTCTTTTACCAAGCGCCGAGGGACTTTGTCGCGAGGTCAGTTTAACATGTGAAACCGCGAGAAAAAATCGTACTCCCTCGGAGTAACAGATGTGAGATGGTAGACGATAAAAATTTAATTTATTTGCGCCGGAAAATACCACATTCTTCACAGGTCGATGCGAACTCGAGAAATATAAAAAAACTCTGGTATTCCGAGAAACGGAACGTTGTCCCGAAAATTTACGAATAAACTTGGAAGATAAGCGTGTGTAAGTTCAGAATGATGATATTTCTGAGTAATATATTTTAACATCCCATTCTCTTGATTCAGGCGCTTCGCAATTTTCCGCAGCTTTACATAATTCTCTCTCGTTCATTTCGGAAAAGCTGATATCTCGAAACGTTGACAGCACGAAGCATCGCGTTTTCCACGCATCGATCCATTTCCTTTCCTCCTTTCTCTTTCCTTCACGCAAACTTGGAGAATTTTTCCGAACCGCGCATACGTATCCGTCGGACATTCTTTGTACATTGAGTATCTCGCTTTATTAGCAAAAGGATCAATTGCCGGCTGTTTTACACTCGCTATCAGCGTTTACGAGTTAAGGATATTACGCTTTTAACGACCATGTGGCAGTATCGCGAGCTTAATTTACGATTTGTAACAAGGGACACGTTTATGGCGCGTTATGCAGGTGCCACCGGCCACCAATCGATCTTTCGATCGCATTCCGCCGTCGTGGAATTTCTCCGCGAATATCCGCGACAGTCGTCGCGATTTTCCCGGAGTGTTACCCCTCGGGATAACAATGTGACGGCGCGTCGTACGAGCGAGCATGATCAATATCGACCGTGACATTGGATGTATTTCGGTGTTAGGGAGCGCTACGGCAAATGAGCTTGGAATTGTCGGCGCGTAAAGGATCGATTGGCGATGTGAAACGTCAACGGGCGCGTCACGACGTCGAGGAAGAGAAGAGGAGTCCGAAGTGTTGCGACGTAAGACAATTTGCTGTGGTTAGCGCGATTAGATTAGATCGCAAACACCGAACGACGCACGAACGGATTGATCGATCTCGCGTGTGCGCGAGGGCGTCCAGCAATATCATCGGCATCGCGACGCGACGCCACGCGTCGCGAAATAAAAATGCTAATCTCCCGAATGACGAGGTTTGTCGGTGGCGGACGCGGCGCGCATTGTTTCGGACGCGCGCTCCTGAATTATTCATGGCGAAATAGCTTAGCAGACCGCGCTAAGCTTAATACCAGGCGCGATTCCACCACGGATAACACCGGACTCCGTTTCACCACCGGGGGATTGTAACCGAGGAACTTGAGAACGCGCCCGCGCCCGCGAATATTATACTCGGCATTTTTAAAGGCCGCTCGCGAGAAACGACGAGATAAAAAGAAAACTGCTCGTGTTATTGCCCGCTTGTTCGCTCGTATAATTTAACCGCGCGATTCGATTCACGAGCAAGAGGAGGAAGAAACACGGAATGAAGACTAGAGCTATTAATCTCTGATCATTTCGAAGCTTCAAAGGAAACTTCGAACTTTTGGAGTTTAATAAACCGAAATCTCGAAAATATGTATTTAAAAACCGTAATCTTCACGCTTCGAAAAGTGAGAAAGGTCGGGGCAGGTTCGGTAACTTTTCAGAATTTCGGAAAAAGTTTTTTGAATTAAATTATCCAGTGCTTGTCAAAATATAACCTCAAGGGCTTTATCTAATGTAAACAATCCATTCCATGCAGTCTTCAACGAGAGACGAATTGTCCAGCAACAATTCTACTATTCATTATATTAATTAATCGACTGTGTGTTTGGTACAAGTATTTCAAAGCAACACAAATAACTGTACAGATACTTATTGATTTTAGCTTCTCTATCGATACGCGATGAACAAAAATTACAAAGCAGCGATAGCCAATTGACACACGCGAAAATCACCTGTATTCGTGCAATGCTTCGCGCTAAATTAATTTAATTGTCTGCCCCATCCCCTCATTCCTTCGATTTCAATAATTTTATCTACGAACATTACAATTAGTAACAATGGTTAGCAACAAAGTTCCACTACGATAGAAAAATTATTTTTCTCTGTCAAGTTTCGATATATATTTTCGAATCTTGAATACTGAACATCGAGACTTCAAAATAGGAGTAATCGAAATTCGAATGTCGAAGTCTTCGAAAGAAAACAGCAGCTCTAGTTGAGAACGGCATCACTTTCGGTAGTTTTCATTCTCGGGCGCTTCGAAGTGAAGAGCATAATTACGAGAATTTTGCAAGGAGATTCCACTTTCCCATGGAAACTGTTCTTCCTTCGTGATGGAGGAACTTAGAAAGAGAGAGAGAGAGAGAGACAAATCGCTGCGTCAGCGCAACGTTATTTTTCACGTCATAGCGAAAGGGTTGACTCGCGCACTCGACTTGGCATTGATGCAAGGCTCTAAACAGCGCCACTTCGCCGTGAGAATTACGTTAGGTTTTCCTGGCCGGACGCGACGGGATTGTTCCGCTGTGAGAATTTTTCACCGGGGAAGAAAGACGGCGCGACGAGAAAGGGAGAAAGGATCGCGGGATGAGATAACGCCGTTTGTCCTACTCCCGGAAATGTTTCAGCGAAAATTAAAACACAGCCTGCACTCCGCGCTTTCACAGTCGCGTTGTAATTCCAGCGCGTATTTCCTCTCCCCCCCTCCCCCCCTTGCGTTCCATTACTGAGGTACGCCGCGCTTTCCGTTTCCACCGCGGCGAATGCATTTTTTATATCGAGGCAAAGATTTGCGCGCACGATGCGGTTGGTAATAAATCTCTCTCGCGGCCGCATTAATTAAGTATTCCGCCGCACGGCGTTTTGCACCGTATTCTCCTCCTGATCATCGATGGACGAGATATTTACCGCGGAATACGTTTACGGCGCACCGGTCGTGCATTTGTCATATCCGATTACGCAAATATACATGACTATACCTGATTAAAACGAATGCAGTATCGGTGAACGATGTCCTTGGCATTCCCGCGAAGTTCTTTACTGCAGCTCCAACATGCCCATCTTCGATCCGCTGTTCATCGAGACGAAATTAATTATGCATATGCATCCACGGATTGATCTCGTACACGAGAAGATACGTACCATGAAAATGTAATGAAGGAATTCCTCTAATCTGCCGTTGAATCGGCAGACCTCGGTGGAACATGATTCTGAAACCGCCATGATTCCAAACTGAAAGATCGGCTGACCAACAATAAGTCGGTACTACTTGTGTTACGACCTCAATAGAACCGGTGGCGGCTCGTAGCAGAGAAATTGGAACTAAAATGCGAGTAGCTGCCGAGATGTAAACCCGTTATGTGTTAACGGGTCTTTTCGCGACACTACGGGGTGAGAAGGTTGTATCAACGAAAATTGGATGTCTTTTTATTTATTTTTCTCCTCTCCTCTTCTTACTTCTACTTCAATAATTGGGATCTTCATTCGGTATAGTGGACATTCATAAGACTTCCGTATCGATATAAAATAAATGGAAACGTTCATGTATAGATACAGTGCGTCAATGGTAACAGGTCGACTAAAAAGTATATAGTCCCAGATATTTCGCTAAGTATGTAGTTCCAGATGTTTCGCCAGGTGTCGCCACCGTTAAGAAAATCGATGGAAACTATACGAAATCGATAAAAATTTCACTCTTACTCGATATTCGTAAAGTTATTTCGTTGAATGCACGACACATCGTTAAGTATATAACAATTTGGCCGGATTATACGACGCGGATTGTTCATTTTCACACGGAATAAAACAATTACCGGAATAACTTTGTTACGCGTCACCAATTTGTATTTCACACGGCAAACAATGCATGTATAAACACCTCTTCACTCCCGATATGTTTGCCTTTAATTAATGCGTTTAATAAAGCAAGCCGCGATATTCATCGCGATAAAATAATACGATATAATGTGACTATTGTACAATCTCGAAATGAATAACGCGTTAAACGTAACAGGGATTAAATCGAAGATAAAATTAACGAAGTTAGTCGTTAACGCATTCGTTCCGTTCAAATAATGACGCAGGCAAATAATGACACGTCAAATCTCGCTTTGTTGCCCGAAATATAATCTATATAAAATATCTCCGAGATAATACATAAAAGGTACGATAAATTGCGCTTATGAGCTATCACGGGACAATACGGAACACCGTCGATTGACACGTTCACGAATCTTGAACCTTTTGCACCGTGAAAAACTTTTGAGAATGATCGATCGTGAGTGGCTCCAACATAATAGGTCTGTTCTTTATGAAAATACTTCCTAAATTATCCAATACTCTTTTCATCTCCTTCTCTCGTCCATCGACTGTCGAATATGCATCTGTGTCACTTCCTAGTAAACACCAACTAACAGTAACATTACAACAATGTTATAATTGCCAACTCAACAATGTAACTGTTACGTACAATGTATGTTATATTGTATTTACATTGTTGAGTGGGAAATTATAGTATTGACATAATGTTACTATTAGTTGATGTTTATTGGGTTTGAGCGCAAACAGTACAACTTGGTGCATCTGTAGAGAATCTGCGTAATAACCGAGGTACGCGATTGCATCTTCTCGTGTCGTTTATTCGGAGAGTTTGTATAGATAAATAGATGACGCGGAAGTGAATTCCAGAAGGAAATCGTCGTATTTTTATTGATATTGAGATTACTTCGAGAAATTTGCATTCGTGGCTGCAAAATCGCACGATTCTGAATAAATAAGTAAGCCTCAGTTTACAATAGTTGTTTTAAACTTTAAAAAATTAACCAATCACAGTCGGATATGACGAGAATAATCGATTGTGATTAGTCAATTTCTTAAGGCTTACGCCATAAATTCTCACTGTAGACCCCGCTTAGGTCGTAAATCAGTGAAATCGTAATCACGCGTATTTGGCAGCGTTGCGCTGAAAGTATCGGTAATTTCGAATACTCTTTGCGCTACATTCAAGCAGTTACGAACGCTCGCGTAATTTCTACATACCTAAGGTGAGCTTTTCTTCCCGCGCGGATCATCGTCGGGAGCGCTGAATGTAAGACTCGCGCGTTTGTCGCAGTGAAATACCGTCGAGTAACTGCCGAAAGTGCGTATCTCACGGGACAGGTCGTAGGGAATGTCAGGTGAGACTCGTTCGTTCGTCGCGTTACGACAGTTCGGAGTTCAAATCGCCGGTGATTTACGCTGTCGAGCCATCGTGAGGAAGTCTAGAGCGCGAATTATCACCGGGAATGTCGAAGTAAATGAATAAGTTTCGCCCGTTCTCGTAGCGAAGTGTTGCAAAATCATCGCAAAAGTGTAGAAAGTACACGCGTATATTTACGTGTGAAAGTACATGTATATTGCGCGAGACGGTCTGGGGTTTGTGATAAAATCGTTAATATATCTCGGAGATATCGGGGCTGTTTCAAGCATCTCGTCATTTTGGACGATGTTAACGAATGGGCTGAATTGTTACGATCGGTGATTTCGAGCAGGCGACGAACGTTAGACCGACCATCTTGATATTTCGAGAGTCGCAACCGTTATGAGATGCGTACCTACGTTCACTCTACAGAATCAGCCATTATGGCGCGGCGAAGCAGTTCGGAGGAAGCCGTGCTCCGTGTTTCTCGCGATTTCGGCCGCGTTCTCGCACGGATTATCGTCGTCGGGAGTGACTAGAGCGAGCGAGTCGTTTGTTACAACGATAAGTCGTTAGAGAAGCAGCGAAACTGAATGTCTCGCGGATACAATCGTCGGGGGACGACGCTGGCAAATTCGCGCTATCGTCGTGTAATGACCGTTAGGAATATGTGCTTTCAATCGAAGTGATCTCGCGCGTGAGTCATCGGGAGGCCGCGAGTATGTTGTTTCGTGTCGAGACATCGTGAAGCAGCCGCCGCAAGTTTCGGGAAACGAGTCGTCGGTTGTTCGTCACGTCACGGCAGTCGGAATTCAAGTCGCCGCATTCTGTGCTTTTGGCCTGACGAAGAGAAAGCTGGTGAGTACCAGAAGGACCCGAGGGAGTAGGTTATAAACAATGAGCTTCTGAGATTTTTGCATGTCGAGTCGCACGGCGTACTCGCGAATTCGAGTAAAAGGTTGGACGACCGTAATAAAAAATGTAATATATTGCCTAGAATTACGAATCAAAGCGAGTGATCGAGTAAATCGAAGACTTCTTTCGGGTAAAGTTAGTCTCAGGAGACAATATCACTACTGCTATCAGACGAGATATTATTAACTCTCCGTTAATCGCAATATTTTTCACCCATGACTAGTCGCAATGTATTTTACAGATATATTAATTTTCCCATTATTTTCTTCTGCGTCTTAAAACAATTTTTCTTTCATTAGAACTTGGCTAATAAACCAGGTACTAAAATATATAAAAATAGTGAAGAACAACAAAGAGAACAAAGAAAAAACATTGACGAGGTCAAGTTCGACTTTGAGGTTATAACAACGGCGATGTGTCGTAGCTTGAACGTGTTTATTGGATATATTTTGCGATTAACGGGAAGTTAAAGACTGACGGTCGTATGTACAATGGCGGTTTGCGTGATTATTAATATTTGAATTGTTAGTTTGCGATGCAGCATTAATTTCATTGTATAATTATATAGCAATAATTTAATTGTATGGATTATTATTAAGCATACACGGAAAGAAATGCTGTTGAATCAATACAATTTCCAACAGCCCGCATAATTGGAGTAAATCTTCTTGATTCAATAACGATATCAATGAAATTAATATTTTAATTATTGAAACAATACATAGTAATTTTAATGATATTTGCTATTGAACCAAGAAGATTTACTTTAATACGTTGGAAATTTTATTGATTCAACAACATTTTTCCCAGAACTAAAATACTACGCCAATAGATAACGCCGAATATTTACATTGTTGATACAGGTAATGTCGATAATATCAGTTGACAATTATTTCCGAATCTCTTGATAATCGGAGGATATTGACATTATCAACATGGCATTTAATTTATGATTTTAATCATTCAATCATTATATTAATGCATTACAACTTAATTGCATAAATATTATCAGCACAATATTTCGTGTATTTTACATTGGACGACTTTTTGTAGATAAATGAAATATCGTGATATTCCATAAATTGATAAAACGCGCCGTAACATTTCTCATAAATGTAAATAAAATATCGTGAAATTTTATAAATAGATGAAATTTCGAGCTAACACGCATATAATTACGAGATAAAATTGCGAAAGCACATTATCAATCGTCAATAATATCTTATAGATGCGTATGATGAGATAAAAAAGCGTTTTTCTTCCTTTTTTTGAACGAATCGACACATCTCTTGTATGCGACTCGAAGCAGCGGATATGTATAATTAGCGCGTATTAACACATTAACGGCGGGCGATCTCGACGAAAGTATGCTAGGTAGCGCGGCGGCCGCCCGCCTCGTTTTTCGGCCTAGAGCGGGCGATATTTTGTGTGATCATAAAAACTTTAAGGTACAGTCGAGCGAAATCGTAGTTACTACGACTGCCGCCTTTAAGCGGCAGTCGAGCGAAATCGTAGTTACTACGACTCCCGCCTTTAAGCGGCAGCCGGGCCAAATCGTAGTTACTACGACTCCCGCCTTTAAGCGGCAGCCGGGCCAAATCGTAGTTACTACGACTCCCGCCTTTAAGCGGCAGCCGGGCCAAATCGTAGTTACTACGACTCCCGCCTTTAAGCGGCAGCCGGGCCAAATCGTAGTTACTACGACTCCCGCCTTTAAGCGGCAGCCGGGCCAAATCGTAGTTACTACGACTCCCGCCTTTAAGCGGCAGCCGGGCCAAATCGTAGTTACTACGACTCCCGCCTTTAAGCGGCAGCCGGGCCAAATCGTAGTTACTACGACTCCCGCCTTTAAGCGGCAGCCGGGCCAAATCGTAGTTACTACGACTCCCGCCTTTAAGCGGCAGCCGGGCCAAATCGTAGTTACTACGACTCCCGCCTTTAAGCGGCAGCCGGGCCAAATCGTAGTTACTACGACTCCCGCCTTTAAGCGGCAGCCGGGCCAAATCGTAGTTACTACGACTCCCGCCTTTAAGCGGCAGCCGGGCCAAATCGTAGTTACTACGACTCCCGCCTTTAAGCGGCAGCCGGGCCAAATCGTAGTTACTACGACTCCCGCCTTTAAGCGGCAGCCGGGCCAAATCGTAGTTACTACGACTCCCGCCTTTAAGCGGCAGCCGGGCCAAATCGTAGTTACTACGACTCCCGCCTTTAAGCGGCAGCCGGGCCAAATCGTAGTTACTACGACTCCCGCCTTTAAGCGGCAGCCGGGCCAAATCGTAGTTACTACGACTCCCGCCTTTAAGCGGCAGCCGAGCCAAATCGTAGTTACTACGACTCCCGCCCTTAATATGTTAACATCTAAATTCCATTCCACGCATTCCACACGCTCCACAATCATAGTCACAATTAACGCTATAATCTAAATCCCGCCGGGGAGGTCCCTATCCGTTATGCAATTAACACATTGTTTTCTGGACTATTGTAATTTCCGAAATTTCGGTTCTCCTAAGGCGACACTCGGCATCCGTATAAGCCGGGAACGTATGGAAAGCTCTTAATCCTAGCGGAGAATTAAGCATTCTTCAGGTCGCGTTATCCCGCCATGCCCCGAAAGGGTTAAGTGACGAATAACTGGTACGGCTTACCTTAATTCCGCGGCGGTCGCCCTATAGTATATCTCGCGATTGCGCCGAAACCGGGAGAAATCGCCAACCTCGCGTACGTACTCACGTACGTTTGTACGTTCGTATGTACGAGCGTGTTACGTACAAGTTCGGCTGTTTATGCTGCGGGCGAAAGCAAGGCGCAGCGGAAGTAACTCTTGCCGCGGCAATAAGCATGCGCTATGGTTCCCTCATGCATATTCGGCAAAAGTAAACTTTACTGCGAATTCGCCCGACGGCTTCGCGGCGGTAGTTTGCGCGCAACTAGCTAATTAACTATCGCGGCAAATAACTTTCGATAACCCCGATTACGCGCGAGGGGGGGGGGTCTCGGCTTACGCGACACGTGTAATCAACCTGTCGAGCTACCCGCCGCGAGAGATAGCCAGGTGGTTCTCAGGTTTACGTGTAGCTGGGGGACGAAAGAGGCGCGCGAGAGGGAAGAAAAAGGGCGTCTCTCTCGTTACCGTTGGGCGACGACGGGGAAAATTTTGAATAATTCCGAACGATTCGGAAAGTGCAAAACGCTTTCCAATTCAAATGCGACTTTCTCGATTCCGTCCGTGGGCGAAACTAAAAGCAGCTCTCGTCCCCGCTAAGAGGATGTAAAGCCTGGAAATAGAAAAGCGCGAGAGAACGCCCTTGCGCCCGCGCGATGTAAAATGCAGATAAAATAAGAACGCGTTGGGCGCTGCCGGTACCTTAGGACGTAATCCANGGGGGGCAGTTTAATAAAAGAAACCTGAAAATAGAAGGAAACACGAATGAAATCTGCTCAATCTTTCGCCGCACTTTTTTTCTCTGTTCACGCACAGACGTTGTTGCCCCCTCCGGAGCCGAGGGAATAACACAGTGACACTTGAGGAAACACGTTGCCGAGTGCATAATAACGTGCGTACAAACGAGGGCGGCTGTTAAGGATGCTTGTCGGAATTAAGGGCGCTATCCGGTAAAACGGTATTTTCCCTGTCGTAAGAAATAACATTACACCCACGCCTGTTTCTCGTTACCGATGCCGTGAGCGTTTACGATTGCTGTCGTCGTATCGCACGATGCCGGGGGAAGATTTCTCTACGCAGTTTACACGAGACGTTTACGCAATGCTCGGAAGTGCTCGTTTTACCGTGCGTCGTGAATTATCATCGTCACGTTGCTTGGATAAGAAGCGTTTAGAGATACAATCTACGAAGGATTTACAAAAGTAGAGGAGTGAGGGCAAGAGGGAAAGAGAGAGAGAGAGAGAGAGAGAAAAGAGATAGCCATTAGAGAAAGAGAGTTTTATAAAAAATTATATTGCGTCCATTTCCCCGTCGTGATGGTGAAAAGACGCGCGCTTTTTTATTTACCACTGAATTTCGTGTTACATTCTTTTCTATAATGTCCTTTTAGAAAAATATCACAGTCCAACAGCGAAAGCGTAATCTAGCAACTTTTTCCTTGTTTTAATGAAATTTTTACAATCCTAAGCACGTCGATCCTGACTGCCTCCGACGTCTTTGTCACAATTTCGTTGTGATCTCCTGCGCGAGTTTCTTCGGCGATTCTCTCACGGGTTGTGGGAAGAACAGCGATAAACAGAAGCATCCTGCGGAAAAGGACACTTTAAAAAATATTGAGAAAATTTAACTAGGTCCATACGTTAGAAAATTCGATGTGTTCGATCGTCTCACGTATCCTAGTGTTTTCTGTATCTGCGCACGCGAGGAATGGCTGCATTCAGCGGAATAAAAGTAATCAGTGAACGGTCAGCACTGAATCCTATACTATACTGGAATGCTAAACGCCATGTTAAGAAGCCGGGGTAAGGGAAAGATAGCACAAGTACTATTTCCTTCTCTGTTTAGTGATTTCTGATACGTCAACGATTTTCTATGATCTTTTCAATAGACATCCGAACGTACTAATTTATTTGTGAAAGATAATGTTCGGACTGTATCTTTCATAGTTTTTACAATTTTTTATGACACAAAACTTTAGCATTTTTTTGTTTATCCTATTCTCTTCCAATAATATCGAATGCTATGATACTTGGAATGAACTGATATATTGAACTAGAATAGCGTGACATTAGAAAGGATGCAGATAGTACTTCTCTTTTCTATTTCATTTTGCCTGTTTCCTCTTATGGTGCCTAACATTTCAATATAGTAGAGAGTCCAGTGACAATTAGTGATTATTGATCTTTACTGTTGGATCTCCAAATTCAGAACAATTACGTTGAACGAATTACTCAGGCGTTGTTTTCCGAACGCAGCCAATGAAACCGACACACGTGGCGTCGCACTAATCGTACCGGTGAAGAGGCAGCCAAGCCCGGTAAAGGCAACGATGCATTCGGTGCCCAAGAGCGCGGAGAAAATCAAATTCCCCACGATAGCGGCGATATTTCCAATCGTCGCGAGGACGCTGGTGCTGCTTGCCCTGTGAAAGATTCATTTCCGTCGCGCGGATCTATTTATCTCGGCTCGCGCGGCTCGTATCCCTCTTTCTCGCGCGTTAACGACGTACCGGCGATAAAAACGACGAGTGGAAAATTGATCTCCCGATAAAATCCGAGAACGAGATATACGTCCGCCTTCTTTCTCTCTCGCGCGTGCACATACCGCGTGGTTACACGTGGTGCAATTAATTTCCTGGTTACGGGGGAGGGGCGCGAGAGAAAAAGGGATAAAGAGAGAAAGCGAATGAGCAGGATACGGTCGCGCGTCAAAGAGGCGCGTTTATATTCATGTGGCATTACCTTAATGGGATGGGAATAACGTCGACATTCACTGCGGTAACGACATTACCCGCTATTCTTGTCGTCACGATAACCGCTGCCGCTAGCGTCAGCATGTACGGAGGAGACTGCGCCCAATTTATTCCGAAACTGCTTGCCACCGATATCAGGAAGGCCGTGACTGCAACAATGGTGTTGTACCCGTTAATTTACGGATTGCTCTCCAGGGGTGGGGTCGCGAAAACAACGTTTAACCACTTCCGCGCTGCGTATAACGGGAATATATAGGGTGTCCCCGAACGCGCGACCTTAATTTTGATGACGGATTCTCCGATGACTCCGATGACGGATTCTCCGATGACTCCGAGGGAGTCTGATTTTTTGCCCCGGCGAGAAACATCGCGGCGTCTGCGCTTTGTTACGCGTCGAGCGGTCAAAATCGTCGTTTCGTAGGGAGTCGTGTAACTGGCAGCCGTGATTTTCGCGAGATAGTAATTATGCTGTAAACAATACGGGTATCTTACGTATTATGATCTGCTTGCGAAGCTTCGTGTTCATTATGAATCCTGCGAGGAACGAGAACACGACCGCCGACGACGCGATCATGGTGGAATTCTGGTAAATTACGGGATTGATCGTCCACTGAAAATGCACCAGAGCGTTGTAATTATTATCACGTGAATTTCACTTACGACAGAATAATTAACGAACCTCGCCATTTGCGGCTGACTGACGGTCGATCCAATTAAATCGACATCATTAATTAAAAACGTTACGTTCTTAAATGAGTGGAGCTAACAATCTCGCGAATCTATTTTCTTCTTTTTCCTTCGTTACGTCGCGTCCGTAATCGAGTCGACGACGGACGAAGAGCGCGAAAATCGTGTTAGGCTCGTGCGGGTTTTACCGACCTCGAAGCACGCGTCGTCAAAATTCGAGCGGTTCAGGTAACGCTGACCCGGTAAAGCCGCGCGTCGGTCCAGCATCTCGCACATGGTCGGCCTCGTGTCCGACGTCCAGTTATTAGCATTGAAGTTGTTGAGGATGATGAACATATGCGGCACCCACAGTCTCATCGTGTTGAATCTACGCAATCGAAGCGTCGTCCGTGATTGTGTCAGATCCGGCAGATTGATCTCGCCTGATTCGCGATCACTGTCGCGTCGTCCGCGCGCGACGCCAACTTACCCGAGCATACTTCCAAATTGGAGGAAACTTACGAAGCAGAAGGCGGGCAGGTAGGCCGTCGATAGCAGTAGCTTCGTGTTGTACAGTGAGACACGCATCTTCTCGAGACTCACCTCGAGCACGGGACGCGTCAGTTGTGTCTTTTGCGGAATCAGCAGCGTTTTTATCTGAAACCAAGACACGATAAAGGGTTTTCCTTTGCCTATCACTCGCCCGGTGAATTATACATTCGAATTGTGGCAACGGTATCTAAATGCAACGCGCCTTCCAGGACCGCATCGTGGAGCAACGTTACAGCGTGCGTTAAAGCGAGCAATCCGTACAACGTATAACAAGACGGAGAAATTTATTAAACGTGTCTGTTCGTTTTCGAATGTGCAAAATAGAGATTTATCGTTCGAAGACGTTTACGGTGAGAAAGAGGGAAGCGCGAGAAGGACGCGCGAAGTTCGTTCGAGGTAACGCCCCCGCTGCTTTCATTCATTCGCCTGGAAAATGCGATTTGCGCCTTCCTCCACTTCCGTTTCCGCTTTCCCTCTCCTCCGTCTCCTCTTCTCCCGCCTCCATCTTTCTCCCCGCCAGACGTGTCGTAAATAAAACGTGTCGTTTGTATCTAGCGGAGGCGCTATGAAGTCGCGGAGGATATCTCCCGGCCATTTGTTAAAGCCCGAAACAATGAGTCCGCTCGATAAGCGCGCCCGGTAAAAAGATAATAACGCCCGAATAATGCAATATCGTTGTTGTCCAGCGCGGGAACCGGGAGAATGGGAAGAGCACGGACTTTCTTTCCCTCTGTGTGTCTCTCTCCCTCCCTTTTTCTCCCGCTCTCGCCTGAGAGTCCTCCGTCAACAAACAGCGCCGAAACGCCGCGCGTAAATTTACCGGGGCAACTAGCTCAGCGGCCTCTTTCAATCGTTGATGAACCGGTCCGAACTCTTGCGATGAAAAATCGAATCACGTTGAAAGTTGAATAGTCGCAGAATTACTCGGCTTACCGGGAACGCTTCCAATGGCTGTCCAGTATTCATGTGGTACATCCGCCTGAGTAACCTCAAGGCGACGTCCGACCTGCCGATCGACATGAGGTACTTAGGGCTGTCCGGTAACATGGCCGACGTCATGAGGCCGATGACGGGAGGTATCGAGCAGATCAGCAGGTATATACGCCAGGAGTTGTAGCCTCGCCCGAAGATGTCGATGTGCCAATCCAACGGCAGTATCGTAAAGCCCAACACTGCCGAGTCGCGAACGTGTTCGATTAACAGGCTGGATTAGCGAAAGCGCGTTAAAGGGGAGGCGTACGTGTTCCTATCCCTATTTCCTCCGCTCTCGTCGAGTTAACTCTTTGTTCCCCGGGGAGAAGTATCGACCGAGTCTCCTCTCATTTTTCGAGCTTTTCGCAAAGTCGAAGCCTTCGTGATAGACGACAACGAAAAGTCTTAATCGCGTGGAAAGTTTGTCGTCGAGGAAATAACGCGCGCGCGCGATAATGTCGCAAGAGACGAAATAAAGAACCGAGTGTTAATCGAAGAGAAATCAGATATGATAATTATCGAAGTATCGCATAAGCGTACAAATAGCACACACACACACAGCGTCTAGTGCATCACGTGGCAAGAAAGCGGCGGCAAATAATCTTGGAAGTAAATTAATTAACTTCTTGCAGCTTGGCGCGCTCGATATCTCTCGCATTCAGCTGGAACCAGTCGGTGCCAATGTGATTCATCGCACGCGTTGTTAGGTAAAGTTCGCTGGTTATTACACACAGGACGCCGCGATAGTGACACGTAATCTAGTTTCGAACTAGTTCCGCCAACCTCGACGCGACGAACTGCAGCTGCGCGAGATCCCTTCTGAATCCTTTTCGCGCGCTCCCGGCGACGTCTTGGTCGCATTTTAATGTAATTTGATTTCAATATGTGGAAACGCAAGTCGCTATAATAATAATAACAACAGCAATAGTCACAGACGCAAAGTAACCACAGCTGCAAAGAAACGCGCTCGTCGCGCAGATATTTTTTACATGTTTCACGCAAGGCGTGGCGTTTTTAGACGTTTCACAAGGCGCATTTTTTCCCGAAGTGTAACTCGAATCGAATTCTCGCCACATTCGTCGCGTTTATTCGCGAGTGACGCGCCGTCGTTATTAATAACCGCGATACATTGCGAAGAATTTATCGCGCGATCACGTGTCTACCTGCCGGCACCATGTTCGCCACGGCGAAGAGGAATCCCGCCCACGTGGTAAAGCGTGGCTTGTACCTCGCCGAATGAAATTCCGTCAGGTACGTCATCACCATCGCCAACGGGCCGCCCGCGCTGTAAATCATAGATGCGCGCATTACACACCGTGTATCGGGCTGTGAGATTGCGAGGCAGGGAAAAGAAGGTCGCGATAAACTTCGGCAACTCGCGAGAGTCTCGAGGCAGCAGAACAGAAATGCTCCCGTGTCTCCCGGGACTCTTCGAGAAGAGAAAAAAATGAACGGTAAAGCACCCTTATTAATCAGCGTTTGAAAGTTTGACGACGCGAATATCACGCGGGGAAACAAATTCTTCGCCTCCGTGGAAGACTTCCACGGTGTATACTCACAGAACACCGCTGACGAACTTAACTAGTAGAAACACATAGTAGGATTGTACGCCGCTGCTCACGATGTTGAGGATCGAGTCGCCTAATAACGCGAGGATGAACAGCATTCTCATGCCGACGTAGGGCGTTATGTAGTCCCAGATGAATGCGGTCGTTGTCATAGCTGAGAACATCGAGTTTCGTGAGATCTCTCGCGTCGGTTGACTTTAATTCGCACATCGTACCTACGTAAGGAAACGCGACTAGGACGCCTTTCCGGAAGAACGTGAGCTCGAGGTCGCATTCAGCCGACGCTAAGATGAACGCGCTGGTAGTAGTGTCAAAAACGGCGGTCCACGCGATCGGCAGCGTGGCGAGTAGCAGCAACACGTTGAACAGTCCATAGCCTGAAACACGAGTGAAACGGCTGTGATTTGAGGATCACAGTCGGAAAGAAGTAGTCTTACCAGTCGCGGAGATGGCTTTGTCGAAGTCCGCGGGTTCGTGGACGTTACCATTGCCTGTAAAACGAAGGATGGCATCGTGTGTGTTGTTACGCAATAAGCGGTTAAAAATATGGTGCAGAAGCGTCTAGGCAGATATAACGCGCGTTGTTTACGAACGAAAATATCCAATTGCAGCAAATAAATTATATAATTCGTGTAATTTATAATTCGTAACTTTGTTTATGAATACGTTATTTCAATATCTAAAAATACGTCTGTTTACTCTCGTCTGTTTGCTTGTTGCCAGAACTGTAACTTTTAATTTTTCACACATGCACAAAACTCGCACCTGCAGGTTATACATAATGAAATCGCGATGAATAAATTGCTCGCACATTGCTTTTACAACTCAATTCAACGGCTATATCGGACGAAAATCAAACTTATACCTCCGCAAGAATAAAAATACCCAATTCGTGCAGCTATTCGTGTGGGTATACGCGTGCTTGCAAACATGCAAGTCGAACCATCGGACTTTCTCGATGCACTAGCGAAGACACCGTGCGCAAACAATTCGCGAGTGTGTTTCCTGCGGAAACCTCGAAACTTTCAGGTCGCGGAAAGCTACTGCCCGTCAGTGCTTGTGCACAAGTAAATTATACGATCGTTCGGACTCGGGAGTGTGCCGGGTCGAGGCCGACACCGTTTCGCGAAAAGAGCCGAGTGTTCTCACCGGTTATCGTGGCGATCTTGTCATTGTCCCGGTCACTCGCGAGCATATCCGACGCGGTGGGCTGAAGAGGCGACTGCGCTCGACGTGATGTAGTCCCGCTTCCCAGCACTCAAAATAGAAGCCCGTCGTGGTCGTAGCCGACCTCGGTGACGATCTCGTTCGGCCAGGTGTTGCTTGTATTCGCTCGCTCGTTGAGTCTTCTAAACGCCGAAAAAATGAGTCGCGGTCGGATCGTCGGACAAGTGCCGAGATTTCCTATGCGTCGTTCGCCGTGCACAGAAGAATCGGTGAAGCTCGCGCACCGGTGACTCAGATGTGCATTTTCTTTTATCGGCGTGATCCGCGACTCCACCGTCGACTTTACAAGTACAACTCGATCGGATTCTACAGAAGCGCGAGTGAGCTCTGGCCAGCTTCCCGTTCGCAGCCGCTCTGTAACCTGCCAATAAAAACGGGTCAAACGATCCAATTGTCAGGCGTGTCTCAGCTGTTTCTCATTAAACGAGTACCAGCGTCTTCAGGTTTCCGCGATGTCATCGATAGTATCGACGATCGAGATCAGTGTTTTCGATAATGTATTCTAATTTTGATAAGAATAACTCTAGTTACGTGGAATTATCGCATGCTGATTTCCTTTGATTTTGGTCTTTCTAAGTGATTTTTCAAGGGGATTATATATATTTTCTTTTATAATATTTTTCTATGTGATACGTAATTATAAATTATAAGATTTATTTATATATTGTGTTTTAATATAATATTCCTTTCGATTTTATATATTTTATACTACGAAATTTACACTTATATTTGCATTAAAATCCGATATATTTATACATTATTTAATTTTATATTTTAAATTAAAATTAATATTATCCAATTAAATATTTGAAAGTTATTTAAAACATTTTTTAATTAAAATTGATGTTACCTGTTACTTGTTCTGGTAACGCTGCAAAATACAACTCCAAATATGGTACACTTGGTCTCGATACGTATTATTTCGGATGTTACGTGCTATTTAAGTCGCTGTTATCTCTAATTAAATGTAAAATTTGCTTATCAACAATATCTGTTAAAGCCGCTATCAGTAATACCGGAAATTCGAGTGTAAATTAAAAGCATCACGTATCGTAAGTCATGCACTGGTAAAAATAACATAAAGCTGTAAGAAACAAACATTCTATACCGTTTGTGATTTCCCTGGCGATAAACAATACTAATTGTACGAACCATGATATGATCCGAAGAATTAAATGATTAGAAACTGAACGGGACTTACCTATTGCTTTATATCCAGGTATTTTAAAGAGGTATTATCTCCTGATAAGATAGTTAAGCTTTTTATGTCCACGAGGCAACTAGTCGGTTCAGCTTGCTCAATCTATGTAATAAATCTCGTATATCACGAGAATGACTGAAAATATTAAAACGCCCAACGTTACTATTTTCCAACAGCACTATTTTCTGAATTTTCATTGATGCATCTTCGGGATTATTTATCTGGTGTTCATGCACGCTGATAACATTTACTCAGACTTAAAGCACTTCCATAACGCGTTCACTTTCACAATTTCTTTATTGTCACAACAGGGAAAAGGGAGAGAAAATTCTATCGGAAGAGCGCGAATGGGAAATAGGTTCGCATTAAAGAAAAAATTGAGGGTACTCGCGGAAGCATGAGAAATCGAGAAAAAATTTCAGGAAAAATTTCAGGAAGAGCTAATGCAAAATAGTTAAATACAGCTCGGCATCCGTGCGCGAGAAACGAACGTTGATCAACTCATAGGCGCGACGCGACGTGATTCTGTTTCACTGATCAAAACGTGGAAAGTCCGCGCCGGCGTGCTGCTTATCGCGATTAACATTGCAAATACTGTCACCGTGTAAATACACGCTTCGCGCGCGCTCAAGTCGTAGTATAATTGGTGTACGTGTGTGCGTTGACGCTCGCGCATTCCCGTTCACGTTCACGACATGTCCTTAACTGCCGAGATATGGTTTCAATTAGCGACAGAGGAAGCAACGATCGGCGTGCGTAACCGATATGTCTATTCATGCGTGGAATTTGTGCAGCGTCGCCAATTAAAATCGCGAAGAAAAAGAATCAAATTCGTCATCGTCGTCGGACGTTGCAATGTCATATTTTTAAGATGTAATAGTCTGATAATTATACCAATTGACTCTGCCAAGTCTCGTTTAACGTATTCACAGAGACCTGTTTCACGATATAAATAAATAATAAATGCAAACGCAAGCCTTTTTTTTACTTTTATACTTTGCTACAGCCGTAAATCTCTGTTAAAATTCAAAGGGAACAGTGCACTATCCTCCCCCCTTCTTGACCCAACCCCGTAGCTCATATCGTTCCGTGAGACACGCCAGAACACGTTATTAATTTAGATAATAGCCGGCCGGGGTAAAATGCGATTTTTCCTCTGCGCTTTTACCGCCGCAAAGGCGGTCACGTCATTTCCCACATGCAGACGTACGCTTTACGTCGGCAGAAACAAAAATGGATATTTGATCCGGCGATGTTACGCTGGCCTTTGGTCAGCCGGCTCTCTCTCTCTCTCTCTCTCTCTCTCTCTCTGTCCCCCTTCCTCAACCTGTCCGACCCAGTTGACAAGAACACGAGAGTGCCACTGAGTTCAAACTGGATTCAGAGTTTTCTCTCTCTCTCTCTCTGCTTCCCAACTGGTGATTTTCGCTTACCGGCAAGCTATACATACAAATTGCCAACACGTGAGAAAGCTCCCGCGCGAGGCGACCGAAGCATTTTCGCTATCATCGCGTTTTACAAACTCGGAGTCTATTTCGTACGCAAAAATATTTATTGCGAAAACGAGCCGATTAACTTATAACCATATTATTCTGATATCTTGTGCTTTATTAGATGAAACTGTAGGCCAAATCCTTCTAGTTGACAAAATAAAAATGCTTAATATTCTACACCGTGGATTTCTTTTTTACTACAGAATACGCAGAGATCTGGGGACAGAGTATCCTCTGCTTTAATTATAAAGATAACGAGAGCGAGAAATAACGAGAAGAAATGTTTCGCGCTTGTCGCTCTTCTCATTAGCGGGCAGAATTGACAAGATGAATAATTGCTTAACCGATTAATTACGCAGACATAATTAATAGAGGTCGATTATTTATTTTGCGCCAAGATCCCGTCGAATGTACTCGTCCTTTTTTTATTGCGGTCTTCCCAGTATCGCTCAGAAGAGCGAGTGAGAAAGGAGTTAATTACTATGTAGACATAACTACCAATTATAAATGTCTGTCTAATCTAGATAAGCCGATAACATCGTTATCACCCTCCCCCCAAATATGCTTTCGCAATATTGGACAGATGCTCGGTGCAAAAACTTTGTGCTCGGAATTCTGACACCTGATAAAACATCAGTGGTCTTTCGATGACACGGTTAATTCGTCGCAAAAACTGCATTGCTGCATCGGCGCGTGTCGTTCGTGTGCATTTGATACCGTGCTCGGGATTCCGGAAGAATCATCGTTCGCGCGTACAGATGCACACGATGAAAATCTGGCAGATATGACAAAACAATTATTATCGCCACGCTATCGTAGACGCGCTGCCATCATTATTGATGCGTGACGAGTGGCGATAATACTTTTTCCTCCTTTCTGCCAGATTATCGAGATTAGAATTCTAGATATAACTAGAGAATCGTAATTGAGAAAGTCACTTTAACCGACTATCTGAATCACATGATAATGTAGCTCCACTTTTTTTAGCGACCATGATTAAGATTATATGATATACTGCAGTAAGTTATATTATTTTTCTTGTGTAATTTTAATATATCATGATACAATAAAAGAATTTTTTATATGTCGAATTACAAAAAGTAGCCACAAATTATGGTAGTGCTATTTAGACTCATGTTATTGAGATTAATCTCTTGTAACTTAACATTTCTTTCTTACTTGCCACTTTCTTTTCTTACTTTTTTATTTGCTTGCTTCAAGTATTATCATGTAAAGAAAATGGGGCACTTTGATATATCGAGCTTAATTGCGTTTCTCTACCGGTATCTAGGATTTTAATCGAGATCAGATATATCTTTATTCGTAGTTGAGAAAATACAAATGTGGACTCAAATTCGCGTCGACTGTGCTGCAACAGTCCATGCAATTAACTGATGCATTTGAAATGTGCTAAGATTTACAAAATCCAGTTACAGAATCGATAAGTAGGTTTCTTATTCTGCCACTGCAAAGAATATAACTGTAGAAAATAGTACTTGGCACTGGTGAGTTAAATATCGACTCCAGTCGACGGCAATGATTTAGAGATGGAAGCTAACTCGGATACTGATTTACAGTCCATTGGTGATATATTGGAAGTTATTGAAAAGGACACTAACGAAATGGTAAATTATATGGACTCACAAGTGTATTTGTTAGGTCAGATCTGTGAGCGCATTGATCGTCTAAGCGACACAATAGCTTGCTTAGCTAAAAGTTTAAATCAGGGACCCGGACCGGACCGAAAACCGTATGAAAACCAGTATTTTTGTCAGACCGGAAACCGTAAACCGTATCGAAATTTTATAAAGCCTATAGAACCAGGAGCGAAATCGGAACCGTTACATTTTTTTCGGTTTGCGATTCTTTTTGGTTTATTATTTTGGTTCTCATTTTGTAATTTTAAATAATCGTTTCTTTCCTTTCATAATAAAATTATATTTCTCACGAAAAAGCAGAACATTGATTAGTTATCGCGATAAATAGAAAATAAACTTCAAGCATACGATATTGAACAGAAGAGGATTAATAAAAGTAATATATTACAATTTTGGGATAAATAGAAAGACAATCATCCTGAATTGTACAAGTTACTCTAACGGAGCTTGTATATTCTGAGAAAGCTCTGAGGATATCAAGTTATTCTCCGAATATTTTCAGAAATTCTATAATTTACATGTTCCGTTAGGAAAAGGTTACAAATAGCAAGGATAATATTATATATCCAAAAAAGTTAAGAGCAGAAAAGGGAAAATAGTGGAGAAATGCCATCTATATCGAAGAAGGGATATTATTATTTTTTATAATATATTATTGTACATGTTATATATATATATATATATATATAAATTTAAATCAACAAAAATTTCATTAAAGAAACAAGTTTAAAGAACTGGAACCCAAAAAACCGTAATTTAAATGGTTTGCCGGTACTTTCATTGTCCGGAAAACCGAAACTGGAACCGGGCCGATATTTTTATTCGTTCCAGGTCCTTGGTTTAGATAAATTCTCTGCCTCTATTACAAAGTATAGTGGTCAGGTGAGTGAGCTAATGAAGAAGAATCGAGAGCTTCCCTTGCACTGCGATGTACATCAAAAGAAGAATACTGATTGTATTGCAGACGAATATTGCAAGGCATAACGAATATTTAGAGAACGATGA